CCCCTTCCTTTCCCCCCCGCGTTCCCCCCCCCCCCCCCCACACCCCCACCCTTTCTCTCTGCAAATTCGTCGGTCGTCTTTCTCAAACTCCATTTTTCATTCCTCAAAAACCTCTCTTTATCTTTCTATATTTGCTCCAAAAAGTTTTCCATTTTTTTTTTTAGTTTTGTTTGTTCAGTACAAGTAAAAGTTGCTGCAAATTCACTCTTTTTAAAATAAAATAAAATTTGGTGTTGAATTGAATTGATTGTTGCTGAAGAAATTGAATCAGATCCAATTAATGGTTTCAAAATTACTTCTTGTTTTCTCTTTTTCTACTCCTAGAAGATCCATTCTCCTTTCTCCTTCATAATATTTCTATATTTTTTTTTACTTTATTACTCGAAATTCTTGATTTTTGATTTTTGGTTTTGGGTGTATTTGGTTCTATAGAGTTTTTCCTTTGTGGGTTTTGTTGTTTGTGAGATTTAGGGTTGTGGGTATTGATTAGATCAGTTTATAATGTCGGCAATGAAGAGTTCAGGTCAATTCTTTACAATTGGGCTAGTAACAGCTTGGTATTCATCAAACATTGGGGTTTTGTTACTGAACAAGTATTTGTTAAGCAATTATGGGTTTAAATACCCAATTTTTCTTACTATGTGTCATATGACTGCTTGTTCTTTACTGAGTTATATAGCTATTGCTTGGATGAAAATTGTACCAATGCAGACTATAAGATCTAGGGTTCAGTTTATGAAGATCTCTGCTTTGAGTCTTATTTTTTGTACATCTGTTGTTAGTGGCAATATCTCACTTAGGTATTTGCCAGTATCTTTTAATCAGGCTATAGGTGCTACTACACCTTTCTTTACTGCTGTATTTGCTTACTTGATGACATTCAAGAGGGAGGCATGGTTGACTTATGTCACTCTAATTCCTGTTGTCACCGGGGTTGTCATCGCCAGTGGGGTATGCCCTTTTTATATTTCGTCAAATTTGTAGTTGAATTGTGGTTATTGTCTAATGATAATGATATTTCATTGAAATTATAGTTGTATTGTGGTACTATGTCTAATGCTTTTGATCTGTTTTTGGTTAGTTTAATCAACTAGGCTTTAAATTCATGATCTTTTAATATAATCGTCTGAAACTTTGGGAATCATAGTGGTGATTCGGCCTAGTGGTCAATGTTGCTGGTTCAAATTCTAGTAGAGACAAAAGAGCACTAGGTGGTTTTTTTCCATCTGTCCTAGTGGACAGAGTTACCCCGTAGATGTTGCTTGTGGGAGATATATCTTGTAATTAGTCAAGGTGCATGAAAGCTGATCTAGACACCACGGTCATAAAAATAAATAAATCATAGTGGTGATTCGGCTGCATGCACCAGCTTCTTAGCTCAATAGAGTGGTTATAAAAAAAAATCAGACACCACGGTCATAAAAATAAATAAATCATAGTGGTGATTCGGCTGCATGCACCAGCTTCTTAGCTCAATAGAGTGGTTATCAAAAAAAATCATAGTGGTGATTCGGCTGCATACCACTAGCTTCTTAGATCAATAAAGTCAGGCTATTTATTCAGTGCGGCTTCAGTATATTTGGAATGTGGCAAAAGGAAAATCTTCTGATCTAGGCTTATAACAAGGACTGCATTAATATTCTACATGACCAAGTTTATGAGCATTTTTGTTTTAGTAGTCTAATATGTGGAAGAAAATCTATCATGTCTACTTTAGAAACTAATATAGTTTCTATTGCAATTTGTTTTCCTTCTCGTTGTTTGT